CTAATTGTATAAGTTAGGAATAAGTGTATAGAGATCAAGGCATTGTTGAGTAATTGCTTCAGCATATATGAAGAGATACTTGTGAACTGACAAGAGATGGCTGCCAAAGTCAGCATATGAGAAGATCGTGGGTCAGGACTGTTCTGAGTGCTCTCTTCAGGGGTCAAGTGCTGGGCGTAAGCCAACTGATTGGCATTGTGTTATGGAATCAGTCTGTCACTTTGATCCCTCCACTGGTGTTTGTTTGGAAGATACAGATGGTGCTCACAGACTTCTCCCGGGACAGAGGCCTGCACTGGGTAGCTGGTGATGATTTGAATATCCTACTTGGAGACAAAGGTCAGCTGCCGATGTACCTTCACTCCCAAGCAGCGACATTCCATTTCCAGACCCTGCAGCAGGACCTCACTGAGCCAACACCCAACACCACCTCCCAACCCCACCCACCTCCCTCAGAAAGAGGAAAATGGACTTCGAAAAAGTTTCATAAAGTACCACAAATAGGCATGTTAGAAAAGTTCGAATTCATGGAACACCAGGGCGAGTGGCAATATTGCTTAGAATTTGACTGAGTAACAGGAAAGGAAGCGATGGTGTGTGGTTGTTTTACAAATGGGGAGTAGACATTCAGTTGAGATTCCCATGGGTTAGTACCGGTGGCCTTGTTTTTCTTGAAATATGTTCATGACCTCAACTTGGGCGTACAGGATACCAAGAAAATTTTGTGATTGACACAAAACCTGGAAGTATTACGTAAAGTGAGAAGAATGTTGGCAGCCTTTAAGAGGACATTAACAAGCCTTGATGAAAGGGGCTGGAACATGACAAATTGTACTAAATGCAGAGAAGTGTGATATCAGACATTTTGGCAAGAGAAGGCACAATGCAAAATAAAGGGTACAATTCGAAACAGGTGCTGGGCCAGGGATATCTGGGGGTAATTGTGTGCAAATTGTTGAAGGTGGTAGGGACATATTGAGAAATCAGTGAATAGAATAGATGGGATCCCGGACCTTATAAATAGTGTTGTAGGGTCATACAGCATGGAAACAGGCCCTTTGGTCCAACTCGTCCATGTCGACCAAGCTTTGCAAACTAAACTTGTCCCACTTGCCTATCCTTGGTCCATATTCCTTTAAATCTTTCCTATTTATGTACCTGTCCAAATGTCTTTTCAAGTTGTAACTGTACCTGCATCCACCAGTTCCTCTGGCAGTTCATTCCACAAATGAACCCTTCTGTGTGAAAATGTTGCCTCTCAGGTCCATTTTTATTCCTTCTCCTCTCATCTTAAAAAATATGCCCCCTAGTTTTGAACTCACCTACCCTAGGGAAAAGACCTTTGCTATTCACCTTATCTATGCCCTTCATGATTTTATAAACTTCTATAAAATCACCCCTCAACGTCCTATGGTCCAGTGAAAGATGTCCCCAGCCTGTCCAGCTTTCCCTTACAACTTAAACACTCCAGTCCTGGCAACATCCTGGCAAAGCTTTTCTAAACCCTCTCCAATTTAATAATGTCCTTATCATAACAGGGCGACCAGAACTGTACACAGTACTCCAAAAGCGGCCTCACCAATGCCCTGTACAACCTCAACATGAAGGTCCCAACTCTTATACTCAGTGGTCTGAGCAATGAAGGCAAGTGTGCTAAATGCCTTCTTTACCATCCTGAAAGGCAGTAAAGAATGGATAACAAACGCTAGTCTTGCCAGTGATGTTGATATCTCATGGACAAATTTTAAAAAGGGAAGGGCCTAATTAGAGTAGATGGAAAGAGTTTACTCCCATTGGTAGATGAGTCAATACCAAAGGACTGTGAATAAAGATGATTGCCAGAAAAATCGAAGGCAATGTGAGGACAATCTTATTTGCAGCGAGTGATTAGGATTGGAAAGCACCACTTGAGATATAGCTTTTAAAAAGGAACTCTGAAGTATCTTAAAATCTGAAGAAGAAAAGAAAATGCAATTCTAAGCACAAAGGAAGCGTGAGATAAGCCCGATAGTTCAGAAAAATGCCACGGACCTAATGGCCTCCTTTATGTTCGAACATCTCGAGGATTGTAAGATTTTCTTAGCTTGTTTAATAGGATATATTCGGAACAGATCGAGCAGCTCCAAACTGGACAACGTGAATTATGCACAGACACCATCTCTAATCTCGTGGCTTGGTGCAACCTTCATTATATTATTTTCATCAAGTCAGGTGATCAGCCCTGTTCCAATGAGGAGTGCAAAATTGCATGCACAGAACAGTGACAGATGCATCTGAAAATCAGGTGTCAACTTGATGAAACTAGAGTAGAAGGCTACGTACATACAGAATAGAGGAATCGGCATCTTATTGACAGAGTTACGTGATGCCATAACTTATCAATCAAAGCAAAATCTATAGTATTGTAGCATCAAGTTGAAAATGAGACATCTAAACAAGGGAGCAGGCTCCACACACGTTTCCATTGTTGATGGTGGAATGTAGCATGTGTGTGCAAAAGATGATGAGAAGCATTTGCAATCATCTACAACCAGCAATGAGTAGTGGATGATCCAATCCAACCTCCTCCTGCAATTCCAGCAACATAGATTGCAGTTTCCAGGCAATTTAATTCATTCAGTCTACAATAACATTAAGAAAATGCTTAGAGCATTGAACAACAAAGTCTCTGGGCCCTGATATCATTCTGGCTGTAATATTGAAAACCTGCAGCTGTACCTCCAGCCAAGTTATTCTGGCACAACACAACAGTAACATCTATGCATAGTGTGGAAAATTACCCCTGTTCATCCTGCCCACAAAAAGTACTGTGCATCTAATCTGACTAGTTACTATCCCACGCATTCAGTTATCAGTAAAGTTGTTGAAGGTGCTGTCGACTGCTATCAGGCAGTACTTGCTCACCCATATTGAACCCAAGTTCTGAGAGCACAATTCAGCTCCAGACATCATAACAGAATATTTGCGCTTGCTTTCTGAGGTAAGGTGGAAGTGGCTGCCCTTGACATCAAGGCAGCATTTGACTCTGTAGCATCACAAAGCTGTTGGAAAATGTATTTCGATGGGAATCATTTGTGTGGATGAGATGGTGACAAGGATTCTTCTCTGATTAGAATCAAACTTGTGTAGTTAGCACAGTGGAAGATGGTTGTTGAAGGCCAATCAGCTCAGCATTTGGGCATTACTGCAGAGGTCTCAAGGGGCAGTATTCTCCGTTCAGCTGTTTGAAAAATGATCTTCCCAGCGTTATCAGGTTAGAGGTTGAGATGCTTGCTGATTATTGTACAGATTGATTATTCAACTGTAACTCATTTGAGAGGTCGACGATGTGTCTTCAAAGCTGGGTTTACCAAAATAAACAACTTTGGACTAAGGTAACTTTGACTTCTAATAGCTTTGTGGTATCTATTCTATTTTTCAGCACTTTATTTGCGACAACACAGGTGAATGCCTCTAGTGTGCAGACTCCCAATTATTCTCTTGTTTCAGGATCTCTAGCCTGATCCCATTGAAAATCAAAATGATAGTATTTGACACTGTACATCATTGAGTTATGAGCAGTTTGATGCAGTTGATACCGGAATTGTGGTCAGTTAGTAGGAGCACTTTACTGCATTTTGTTACAGAAATGATGCTGTTAAAACTCTGACTAAACCATTGCAACATTCCCTTTCATAAACAACTTGATGAGAGTTTGTTATTCATTTGCCTAAATGCTACTTTCATTCCAATACTGGCATCAGAATTGAGAAATCCAATTGATTTTTAAACTGATGTTAAAAATAAGTTATAATGTTGGTAATTCAGCAAAACTGAAGCTTGTTTGATTAACGGACAATCAAAAAAATGTACTCTGCATTTTGTATGTCAGATTTGTGTTTTAAAAATAACTCGCCTTTTAATGATTTTATCTTGGGAATTATACTTTTTGCTTCTGTTTGATGGGCCTTGACATTATTAGGTGAAAAGTTAAGATTAATTGCACTTTATCTGAATGCTTGAAGTATTCATGATTTGATTGGAGAATTAATGGCAATAATAGAGATAAATAGGTTTGATATATTAGCCATGTTTTGTAGAAGGGTCACTGGACCCAACACGTTAACTCTGCTTTCTCTCCACAGAAGCTGCCAGACCTGCTGAGTTTTTCCAACAATTTAGGTTTTAGTTTTTGATACATAAGTCATCGGTGAAATGAATTGGTTGGGTGCTAAATATTTGAAATTCAAATTGGTAGGGTATGCACAGATGATGGTGATGTAACCCTGATAATACAACATCATCAGTGATTGGTATTAATAATGGAAAAGAAGAAAGGAATAGAGAATTAATAGGACCAAAAGTTGATCAACCTCAGGGCAAAGGGGCAACTATTTTGGACTCAGCTGAGGAAATATTCTTGCACTCAGTCATCAATTGTTGGAATTCTAGATATGGTGAACACGTGGTTGTTGCGTATATTCCAGGCTGAGATTGGTGATAAGCATGATTTTTGTTTAAAAGTAGAACAGACTTGAGGAACTGTATGATCTAGTTCAACTCCTAATCCTTGTATTCTTACGTGACGTGTTTTCCTGTCTCAGACCTTTGACAAATAAGAAAGGAGTTTAGTTAGGATATGATTAATGCTGCAATGTTCCAAACTGACAAGTGGTATTCAGTTAACTCTAAACTGGTGTTTTAATGTCTGATGATTTGGAGATTTGGAATTTCTACGAATTTGTTGGAACAAATGGATTAGTGTAGGAGTTATTGGGTTGACCCTGGACTTAAACACAATCTAGATCCAGGGACAAGATAGAGGCTGGAGGGTACGGTATTTGAAGCTTGGGATTAGTTCAGTCAGATCAACAATATTGATAAATCTGAGATAGTGACAAAAAAGGCGAGTTGGTTTGCCAAAGGCGAGATAAGCAAGAGAATGCTGTTTGCTGTTCTAAAACTTGAAGCACTACAAGTCCACTCAAGTTCATTTTTTTTTATCTGATTTCATTTTGTAGCCTTTAGCCGAGCTCCAGTTCCAATGGCAGTGATCAGGAGGGAACTGTCCTGTGAAAGTTATCCAATTGAACTCCGTTGTCCTGGAACTGATGTCATTATGATTGAAAGTGCCAATTATGGAAGGACTGATGACAGAATCTGTGATGCTGACCAAGCCCAGATGGAGAATATTCGGTGCTTCCTACCAGATGCCTATAAAATAATGTCACAAAGGTAAGTCTGTAGAAATGTTAACTCACTATGGCCATTGATGATCAATGTGGCAGGTTTCTGGAACAAGGTCATTCTTAATACAACTTCTGTTTTTTTTCTGGAGCACAATGAGAGTTTGAAACAACAAATAGCATACTTTTCCATACACATTGTAGAGCTGGCACATCTTTCAAACTGTGAGACTAAAACATTGCACAGACACAGCATGCCTATCAGACTCAACCTGGGACAAAACTGGATGTTTTATCTATCTAAAAACAAATTGGTGAAACACTTCAGGACTTGGTATTGTAAATGTAAGAACAGTACACCACAGTTGTCTGGACTTAGGGCTGAATGATGTTCTCCTTTTACAAGTCATGCTGTCACCACTAACTAACAGTTATTATCTGACGTTAAAACACAGTTCAGTGCAAGCCAAAGAATGGGGGAAAGAAATATGTACCCTGATAATTAGAGAGACTGATCATTTTTCTAGTACTGTACCAGAGGCTGTTCTGTCATTTCCCTTTCCAAATGTATGTTCCACGTGTGCTTTTAGTTGACTGGTGAGTTAATCTGCTAGAAACTGACTTTCTGGAGGCAAATCTTTGATTTTCTTAATCTGGAAGAGAAATGGTAACCCTAAAATATTTGAGATAATAAGTAAGGCATGCATTCTGACAGGTACTGCCTTGAGGGAGAATAAAATTACTTTAAATTGCACATTTTAGGAGGATTTAGACTTGGAATCCTGCACGTTTGGTCTCTTCAGTTCAAAAAACTGGCTGATAGTAAAGAAAGGTCTATTTTGATCTACGGTGACCATAAAATATGCAGACTGTTGCTGAGGAACACTGCAATTATCCGTTTGCTTTCTTTTTGTTTTCTTTTCCTTACCATAACCACCATGTTCCTTTACTCAGGTTGTCATACAGTTCTCACAGTCAAGAAAATGGAAACAGTTATGTCATGTAGCCCAGAGTCCCAGGTTAATGCTTAGGGAACGTAGGTTCAAATACCACCTCAGCATGTAGCTGAATTTAAATTCAACTATTAATTCAGGAATTGAACACTTGATTGATGGTCACTGTGACAGTGACTATTAAGCTATAGATTGTCAAGAAAATGCATTTGGTTTACGAGTGCCTCATTTCTCAAAAGGTTTGCAGATGACATGAAAATCAGTAGGGTGGTAAGTAGTGAGGAAGATAGCCATAAATTGCAGGAGGGTATTGACAAATTTGTTGCTGGGACAGTGCAGTATCATGTGGAATCCAACTGGATAAATATGAGATAACGCACTGCGAGAGGACTAACAAGACGATTAATGTCAGGACCCCGGAAAGTACTAAAGATTAGAGAGATTTTTGTATGTTAGCAGGGTAGGTAGATAAGGAGATTAAGAAGGCATATAGGATACTTGCATCTAAAAAGATGCAGGACAGAATACAAGAGCGAGGAACTGTGGAACTGTGTAAAATGCTGCTTAGGCCACAGTTGGAATTCTGCCTGCCGCTCTGGTCACCACATGAGAGAAGAATATAATTGAATTGGAGAGGGCGCAGAGGAGATGTACCAGGATGCTGCCTTGGCTGGACGGCCTGATGTATGAGGAAGGATTGGATTGGCTGGGGCTGTTTACCCTAAAGTAACAAAGGTTGAGAGGGGACCTGATAGAGGTGTATAGGATTATGAGCACAATAGACAGGACTGGATAGGAAACCTCTTTTCTTCATTGGTAGATGGGGCAAAGATTGAAGGTAATAGGTAGAATGCTAATGGGAGAGTTGAGGAGAATTTTTTTTTCAGAGGGTTATGGGAATCTGGAACTCACTGTTGGAAAAGGTGGCTGAGTCACAAACTTTTGTGGCATTTAAGTAAGATTTAGATACTCACTTGCCTTGCCGTATCCTTCAGGGCATATGGGCGAAGAGTTCCAAAATGGGATTAGTGTTGTCAGATCTTTATTACCAGTGCCGGCAAATGGGCTGAATGACATCTTTCTGCAATTTAAATGCCTGTCCTTTTAGGAAGGAAGTCTGCTGTCCTTAACTGGTCTGACAGTGTGACCCCTCCCCCACAGTAATGTCTTGGCTGAAGTGGTTTTAGCATCTAGGGAAGGCAGTGGCGTATTGGTAACGTTAATCAACTAGCAGTCCGGGGACCCAGACTAATGCTCTAGAAACATGGGTTTAAATCCATGTCACATGGTGGATGTAAATTTGATTTAAAGAAATTAAATGCTAGCCTAACAGCAACAACGTAGCCACCGCTGAATGTCATAAGATGAATGGAAATTTTCCCTCGACACCGATAGAACAGACAAACATTGAATTGTTCATGGATAACAAATAATTTTATCCTTACAGGAGCAAATACAGATAAGTTCGAACTGTCTATAGTTTTTCTTAGCTGGAGATTAATTTAGCTGCTTTATATCTACTGGCTGTCATCTAATCCTAACTCGTAAAACCTGTTTTCATCAGTTAGGATTTGCTTTGACTTGTTAGCTAATCATACAGATACTAATTATATTTATCATCAAACTGGCTCCTTGTGTGCTCATTCTGTGGTCAAGATTTTATTCTTTTGCAAAACTATCCACTGAGACTGAATGTTAGGGCCTCTGATTCCTCCAGCCTGCTGGGTCTCCACCTCTATCTCCTGCCTGCTCATTCTCTAACTCCACCCCTCACTCACTTTCTCTCCGCCTTTGCCTCTCACTTGCTGACACTCCATATCTCTGGTGTCTACTCTCCCACTTACTCCCTTTCCTTGCTTCCCACCTGCTCGCTCTCTGTCTCTGCCTCCCGCCTGTTCTCTCTCTGTCTCTGCCTCCTGCCTGCTCACTCTCTGTCAATGCCTCCCACCTGCAGAGGGTCCCTTCAAAGACACTTAGTCCCTGATCCAGGGACCCTGCCTTGCAGAGAGATGTGGCCTGAAATGAGGTATCCCAGTGACAAGGCTGCACACCTCACCAGTGATGGTCTCCATCATGTGTTCAAACAAACCACCTCAGTCAGTCACTAGTGACCTGTATTTCTGAGTTTCAGCAATGATCCTCCTACTGTGTCCTCCGATGGATGTTGTACCGGCAGAAGCCATTGCCTCTCAGATGGCTGTACCATTCAGTAGAAGTGCTGACCTCTTATTGGCCAGCCGCTCCAAGCAGGCAGGATTTCAGCCCCTGAAGGTTATTGATCGGGCAAGGTTTGGTTAAGTGCTGGATTGACACATGACTTAGTGTCCATTCCGTGAAAGAGGTGAAGCTAACAGTACACCATGCTGTATGACTTTATGACTCTACATCTGTCCTGCTGGATGGACGAGCTCCCATTGCCTCCATTAAAATTAACTCTCTATCTTTACAACCACCCACCATGCTTTGTATGTGGCTCCCAGTTGCCTGCACTCCATCCTCTGACTATTATACTCTTTCACTTGGTCTGTGTGTCTCTGTGTCTCTCCTTCTTTCTGTCTGTCTGTCTATCTCTCTCTCTCTCTCTCTTTACGGCTGTCTATCTCTATCTATTCCCCCCTCTCTCTCTCTCCCTCTCGCTCTCTCTCTATCTGTGCCTCCGTCCCTCTATCTGTGCCTTTCGCTAGCAACATCTGTCTGTGCCTCTCTTTCCCTGCCCATCTGTCTCCTTTTTCAATCTCTTAATCCCTCTCTCTCTTGGTCTTTGCATCTCTTTCCCTCTTTATGCTTCTGTCTGTATCTCCCTCTTGCTCTCTGCCTATATATTCCAATCTATGTATCTTTCTGTACATTCCTGCCCTTACAACTGTGTCAACCTCCCTCTTTCTTTCGCGCTGTCTGCCTCTGCCTGTACATCTCTTTCTGTCTGTCCCTCTACCCATACTCTATTGGGCTTATTTTCCATGGAGCAGTGAAGGTTAAGAGGTGACCTTATTGAGCTGTTCAAAATTATGAATAATTTTGACAAAATAAAGAAGGATAATCTGTTTCCACTAGTTGGTATGAGAGTAACTAGGGTCCCAACTTCAAAATTGTCAGCCAGAGAGCTAGGAGTGAGATGAGCAGAAACATCTTTACTCAGAGACTTGTTAGAATTTGGAAAATACTGCCTGGGAAGGTGGTGGAGGCAAATTTCATAGGAGGTTTCAAAGGAGAGCTGGATATATATTTGAAAGTGATGAACTTAGAGGGCTATGGAGAATGGGTTGGAGAATGAAATGAACTGGGTACCTCTTTCTGGAGTTGGTACAAACATGATGGGTCGAATGGCCTCCTCTGTAGTGCAAAATTCTATGATTCTGTGATTCTTTCTGTCTGTGTGCATCTCAATCATTCTCTGTATGAAACTCTGTCTCTCTCTGTCACTGCTTGTATGCCTCTCTGCCTCTGCCTGTACTTCTTTCTCTCTGTGACCCTACTTGTATCTCTCTTCCTCTCCTGCTCTCGTCTTCTTTGTTTCTCTGTCTGTGAATCTCTCTCTCTGTATCTTCCTCTGTCTCTCTCAGCTGGTATCTCCTGTTTGCTCTGTCTCTGGTTGTACTGTATCTTTGTCTTGTGAGTCCCATTTATCCTGAGAACTGATAACGGAAATAAAATAACCTGTGTTATGGATCATTGTTTAATTTGTGTTTGGGTAAATTGGTCGAAATCCACATATTTCAAAAACACATTACTTTATTTGGAAGGTGAAATGGTGAGAGAACAGCTTCACAGTTCAGAAGAATCCCTCTGATGATTTAATAAAGCTGTCTAAGCCAATGCTTATATAATAAAAAGAGTGATGTTTATGGAATCTTGCTTCAGTTGGCCCAGAACATTCTTAGTAACTCAGAACTAGCAGCTTTAACTTTCCAGCATAGTATCAGTTCCATCATTAGGGCTAAGCTAAGGTAGGAAAGATTTGCATAGAGCATTATCTGCCCATCTAGAGTGGAAAATGAGAACTCCCAGCAGTGATTCACAAACAGAAAATAACTCCATAAGAAGGAGATGGAAGCCATAATTAATCTTTCTTCATTTAGTTTTCTATTAATAACTC